AAAAAAATGTGTACTTTTCATTGCATAAAAATATTATTATATATAAAGCTAATCTGTTACAAGAACACAACTGCAAGTAGCGGTCTCAACAGTTTTTTCTGTGGGAAAAGGAGAGTTTATTTTGAAATTAAGGGCTGGTTATAGCCACGGTTTTCTATGAGATTTTCTCAAATCTTGATATAAGTAGTTCTTCTGGTTAATACATATGATAAGTACTATCATGAATTCTTCTGGACTTTGAGATAGCAGAATAAGCAACTGTCAAATTCAGGGCAGATTCATGCAAAAAAAAAATCTTCAATAGAAGGGTCCCGATGTTCGAAGAAATTGTAGCACTTATGACTCACTACTCTTGAAGGAAAGAAGAGATTTTTATTTTGGGGCTGTGCTTGATAAAAATACTAGAATCCAAAGAATGCATAGATAACTTCAATTCTACTCACCATTCGACTGTAGAATTTCTTCAACAGCACGGTCATCATCAGGTGGATCGTCATCGTTCTCTGCATCGGATTCAGCTTGGAGGTCATTCTGAAAAATCTACTATGCTTTTCTTTGTCAACATACGAAACAACACCTCACTTGATTCGGAATCATTGGAGGTTTCACTTGTTTTACTTGATTAGTAGCAGCAGTTGTGGCAAGGGTCCTTCTGGTGGCGGGCGGTCTTGTTATACGTACTGGCGGTCTCGTTACCCGTTGGTTTTCTCGTGCAAAGTCCGGACCACCAAATTTCTGAATTTTGTAGAAGTTCACATGGGCGTCAACAGTTAGAAAATACAGAACTGACATTGAGACATGCGACTTTGAGTTGGCGTCATCTTGAAATATTTGAAATTAAAGCTAAAATTTGTGTTCTTTGCAAAACCTATGCTTATGACCATCAGAATTTTTATTGCTTAATTTTCAAGATCAACTTTTTTGGCTGTAATGGTTGAAGATCGTTTCTATTTGTTCTTAACAGATATTGATAGAATTCTATAGCATCAGCAAATTTTGACTCTGATGGACATAACATTTAAAAGAATATTATCTAATGATATTTTTATATACTTGCATGAAATTGTTTACAACTAGATAAGAATAATCAGGAATTTCAAAGAACTGGGATAAATAACTTGTCAATACTCTATGTTAATAGAAGTGCGAACTTTTGTATGTGGATAATAGCTCACAAAGGAATGTAGCTTCAACTAACTAAGACAAAAACCAATTTGGCAAAAAAAAATTCAACAAATGCTTTCTTATATACCTTGCTTGATCACTTTGTCGCAAATGTCGGTTGAAAAACAACATAAAAAATCAGTTACATGCGGGGACTTACCGAATAAAGGATCAAATGTAATCTTAACAGCCTTGGCTCAATTTTACCTACAACAATTCATTAAAAGCCCTTTCCCTGACCGTGGAATTTCCTGAGACAAGTGTAAAATTCTTCGCTTATGACAAAGATAAAATAGACTTTGAGTTTTCTCTTGAATCTGATAGCTCACCTCTTTCACCTTTCCTGGCTCATGCGGTGGAAATGTCCTTGGCGGAGGGGTGTAGATAGGCAATGGATCAGGTCCGATCCGCTTTGCTTCAAAAACTTTTCTCAAAGTCCCATTCCGTAAGATTGCGTATGGGTTGTTGACATTGACCGGTCCAAATTGGGGAGCAACCTGATGCAATTTATGTAAAATTCTAAAAATTAATAATCAACTCAAATCCCATACAGTAAAAGGAGTCGTCGAAACCCCTCTGGTAGTACGAGATGGCTCAAAGCGTTTTGTGCTTTTTGCAATGAAGCGAAGAAGATCCGTACGATTTTCAAATGTTCTGCTAGCATAAGGCGGAGGACGTGGGATATTCTAAAATTATACTGTCATATGTAGTCAAAACGAAAAAAACTGAACTTACAGGGTTTCTTCCGCCCAACTGGCGCTTGTCTCTATGCTGCTCCTGCG